CAATTTTCTGTTTACTACTAATTTGTGTCCACTATTTTGATGTATATTATTAGCAGTGAGTTCTTTCATTAACTGGAACAGAACAACTGAAACTATACTATGATTAACAATGTCAGTGAAAAAATCAACTAATCAGCCTGATCATTTGATATTATCACTCGAATACATGACAAAAGATATGATGTTGAGTAATAGATTTCACTTTCAAACGTTATTCATCAATACAATATTATTTTTCAATCTTAATTCAACACAAATTCATAGGATTATTTTAGCAGTGTTCTTAATAATAACTCAGCTTCTAAAATAGATTTTGTCTTCATAGACAATTCACATTTTCCACTTTCTACTTAATATTGCAAAAAAATTTTAGAATTGACACGAGAGATTTTTATTCCGATAATATTATTTTTCATAAAATTAAAGTGACAATAAAGAAAATTAGTGATAAACATAATCTTTCGAATAAACCAAGGATTGTTTAATAATTAATCGTTTTCTTTAGCACAATTACGTCGCGTTTCATCTCTTGTAAAGTTTTTTATCACCATTTCCAACTCTTCATAATCGATTTTTAATTCAGTTAAACAAAGTAAATATGTTTTTTGTTTCATTGAGAAAATGTTCAACATAATAACTATGTACATCAATGATCTTAAGTGAAATAAGATGAGGATATTCAACAATTGAATACCAATCAATATAGTAACGATGATATTCGTGAAATCTTCAATTCGGTGATCGAATATTGGAAATAGATAAACGTTTAAGAAATGGAAAATCTCGAGCAAATCGAATGAAAAATTCATGTTTGAATGGACGTTTATTCCATAAGTTCAAATGAGTAACAGAATTAAATACAATATGCGGAATATTATTTGTGATTTCGTTGAGACAACGAAATTCAAATGGAAGTGAAAAAACGCAACAAATCATTTTGTAACGCTCGACATAATCCACCATACAAACCACCTGTGGGTGTTTTATACTTGTGAAAGTTCATTAAATATCTTCCTTAGATGTACGAATAGCTGGATAAGCAACAATGACATTTTCACAAGCGATATAAAATGTGAATGTATGAAGTTGTAGCATATAAACAAGAATTTCATTACCAAGATAAGTACCAGTGATAAATATGGATCCATCGAAGATACGAATATATAAAGTTAATTCTTCAAGATGTGACATTCGACGAAGAAGAGGTATAACTAGATTGTCATATCCTCAAGTATGACGATAACATGTTAATGAAAAACATTTTAATTTAGCTAAATGATCCTGAGAAATAGAAAGCAAATATTTATAAATTCATCTTTATCAGTCGAGTTAAGAAACAAAATTCACATAAACCATTAATCGATAAATATTACTCATTTTTCAAAGTCTGTTTTTAAAATGTTTTCTCGAATTCTGTGAAATATATACATTCTCTATTAATAATAATTACTTTCTATTTGTTAATTATAGACGCATAGAAACTAGTGAATAATTCAATAAAACCAACAAGTATTATATAAGAATGAATTTTTTTTAACATGTTTCAAAGCATTCAATAAGGTTCATTATATAGATATTACAAGACAAAATTATTTGTAAAGAAAAACTAATAGTTTTTTTAAAATAAGTATGCTTGTTTGAACAGTGTAAGCAAATGAAACTGTAACAAAAAAATTCGATTAATTAAAATATTTATTTGAAACCAACTCTGTTTAATTTGTTTTGACATATATAAATCTAACATATTTAATAGAACAGATATAAAATAAAATGTTTTCTATACAATCATTTAATAACTACTAAGATATATTGAGTACTTTGAAATTAATGATGATTTGTTATTTCAATAATCTCGATTAACATCAACATAAGCATTACAACCGATTCTATTTATTTCCTGATGATCAAAATTAAAATATCATATTTACTAATGCAGAAATCTCATTATGTTTATTACACTTCTAACTATATTTTAGAAGTCGATATTACACACTAGTTAGAAAACAATAATAACACTTCACATAAACTCACCATGTTGTAAGATCGTTGATTATTGATATCAAATAAAGAACATCCATGTTGTCAAGTTTTTTCAAAATAAGGAATAATACTTGATTTGGAAGATCAAGAAGACGAATATCATGTTGATTCATAGTTAAATGTGCTTTTTGTAATGCCTTAAGTAATACGATATATATACTTATGTATTGATTCTTTGTTCATATACACTCTCTCTTTAATGAAGAAAAAAAGTTGACCATTTTTTTTGGAGCAAAGAAATATAATATTGATATATATAGGGCTCAAACAGGCTAGAAGAATTCCAAGTCAACTAAGGAATATGATTGGTGTTTCTACTTAGTAGTGCCAATCGCATTTCTTAACGGTGTGGGTGTAAGGTGAGCTATATCCAAGCCCACACTCACGCTTACACTCAGTAATGACGTATGGTCGTGATGACGATGCCATTTTATTTGTTGTCCCAAGAGAAACGTTTTTTATAATGAGAAGATAAGGAACATGTTATAAATTGACGCCGCTAGTCTACAAAGTAGCTATCGACATTTGGGCACTTTATATTCTTTTCTTATTATTTATAGTCTTTCGAGATAAGGAGCGCATGAAAAAAAACTTAGTAGATGAAAAATGTGCATGATAATGTGTTCTAGTAGTATGGATATTGTATTGAAACAATGTAAACAGGGTATATCTGTTTGAACCGAGTGAGTTGAGGTAGTTTGCACATCTATGATGTTTTTTTATCGATTCAACACTTAAGGAAGTCTGTTCGTCTAATATTGGTCCACCTGATTTCTATTTCACAATCTCGAATTGTGCATTGATGTGGTTCGAAACTTCCAATGATTTCAAACTACTTTGGTGAAAAAAGTTGAGACAAGACTGAAACACTTGAGAGAGGGTAGAATTATATCGAACTGATAGAAACCTAGTAAGATTGAAAAGATAATAACTGTTAAAACTACATAGGTCAAAATCCATGAGTCTAAACGATAATAATTTATCTCTATAAAAAGTCTTCTCAGTATTCTGTCCAAATCTCTACAAACTTATATCAGTAATGCTTAATCTCTTTTTTTTCCAAAATTTTCATTGTCAGATTTTGCACAGAATCATGTGCTGTACCTAGTAACTTGTGGTTCTTTCATCTCAGAAACTAATATAAGCGAGAAATAACATTACTGAAGCCTTCTAAAATCTTTTTGTTTTTTTTTGCGACTTTCAAAATAGTGTTTCCTTGAAAAACATGATTTATACCCTTAAACTACTCTATTTTCATTAAAAATCTTTTCAGCTTATTTTTATTTACCAATCTTGCAAATGATTGTCAAGAGAAAAATTGTAACTAGCAGCAACTTCAAAATATAAATTACTTCATTATTTTTTTGAATAATCTGATAGTAACATCATAGAGACCTACGACGTTGAACATTTAAGAGAGAAGAGGACGGGCATTGACTTGCACGTAAATTCGATTCGTGAACAATTGATCTTTCAGACAAGTTCGTGGTGGAGGTTTTTGTAAGTGATATTCTGAAGCTATTTTCTTTTCGATTTAGATTTTGAATAGGACTGGTCGAGAGAAAAATCTCTTCTGAAAGTTGTTTTATATTGAATGTTCAGGAGGGATTTAATAAAACTGGGCTAAGGAAAAGGAAATATCAAAAAATGCGATTTTTATCTGGACTTTCTTCATGGATAAATCCTTTATTGAAAACTGAATCAAGTATATTTAATAAAATAGAGTAGATTTAACAATCAATCTTATTGACAGAACATGTTTTCTTTTACAAAATAAATATCATCAAATAGAAAGTAGTTGGAAGAATCCTAAGGAATAACTAGTTCAGAATTTAATAGCATCTATGATTTTGTAATATTTTTTATGTTTTCTTATCAACTTCTAAACTTGTATTGTATATCATTGAAAAAACGACAGTTTCTTCATTTTGCTAAATAAAAGAAAAATATTCCTCGAGCATTAACAAAAACAGTCACCCATAACATTCAAGATATTCCAAACAATAAATTGTCTACATAGTATGGATTGATACATCTGCCAAACATACTTGGTGATGATCATGATAAACGCAAGCCTGATTTTTCATTTGAACATGCTATAATTTCTATATTTCTTTATTGTCGCAAAGAAAAACAAATAACATATGCATTATTAGGTACAATGATATATAGATGGGTTGATAGATACTAGCAGAGCTTAATATCAAGGCCACAAATACAACTGGCCAGCAGAGCTTAAATATCATCACATTTATCATTTTGTATCAATCAAGCATGATCTATTAATATAGACATTACTATGATAGCATGTAAGATGAAAATAAATTTGAATACAATCATTTCCTGATAGAAATTCTTGTAAACAAGTATTCATCATACTTTATCATAATGAAGATATAAATATAGCTTTTTCGTCTTTTTACAATAATTTATCATCAAAAGATCAAATAAATCATTACACCTAGATAATTTCACATCATTGCATTTAGTAGACATTTTTCTATCGCTTTTATTTTTGTCCAACGAACTTTGCTTCTCACTTAAGGTTTATTGTAAGTTATCAAAATTAATATCGGATGATACCAATGATGTACTATTGTTTAAAGATATTCATTTTGAGAGTATAAGATGTAATTTTTCCAAATTTAATAACACTACGTAAAAAAACGACCAGTCTGAATAATTCCTGACTATATCTATAGAAACTAATGAAGATAAATTTCAACGATTATAAATCTATGAATCATAAAATCAATATAGATAGATGATCTAGAAATAATGCTCATATAAATTCGTATTTATATCTCATGAAATTCATTTACAAAAGGAGTGTTTTTTATATTTGCTTATCATCTTATAATTATTTATTAGGCTTGATTTTATTTAATTAAAATGCATAAAATAGATATGAAAATTTCTTGAAGTTTTTTTCTTTCTGTCCAAACAATTCATAATATTTTTCAAAATAATGGTTGAACACATATGCGAGGACAATTGCCACAACATTTACGATTTCCTGGACAATCCTTATCAATTGTGCATGCAGCATAACAAGCACCTATTCTATTAGATGGTTGTGGACATGAACCTGGTTTTGTTCCAAAGTGTCGATTAGAATGACAGCAAACAGCATAAGCATCATTGGGTGCAATCAAACATGCATAGTTTCGTGGGCAATCTCGACGAGTACGACTACGACCACAAAAGTAACCTGGCAATGGAGCTTGTCCATCTTCACAAGGACTTGTCTTACATCGGCATGTTGGACAACCATTTCTATTTAATACAAAACCATATAGACAATGTCTACGACATAATGCACCACATCTCTGATTATTTGTCGTTTCTACAATTGTCAATAGTACTAAAACACATAGGAGTAAAATTGTAAATCGAAGCATTGTTTGTTAAATATGATATAATCTTTACGCACAAATCAACGTATATTTATATCATACAAAAATGAATACGTCAAATCCTGTTTGTTTACCTTATTGTGTATTTTTCATCAAATATCTAATCATGGTTTTTAATGTCGTCAAAAACGGTATTGAATATAATAAATGTGCTGTATGTGATTTATTGGTTGTTATTATGATCACCATGCATGACGGGTTTTTTTAAATACCTACATTAGGGTTTTATGAAGGATAAAAAGAAGAAATATATCCCTTAGCAAATCGAATAGTTCAATCGATCTATCCTATGCAGTTTAAAGACAAATGTATTGATCTGCATTCAAGGTCAAAAAAGTTTAAATATATCCTCACAAATATATAAATAAAAATTGAAATATCACTGACTTATACTTAATTATTAAGCAGTAAAAAAGTTGATTGGAAATCAATTTATTTCAAATTTTTATCAACGTTTCGGATGCTGAAATAATTTACATACGCAATTTTAATTGTATAACCTTCATGCAGCCGTAAAAAATAAACAGATGTCGATCTCAAATAATGTCTAGTGGCTGAAAAAGAAATTTTCAGTTCGATATATTTGAGCCTATCATGACTTGAAAAAAAGGATTATTTTAAGTTTTCTATTAGTATAAGATTTTTAAAAATTTTATTTTGTCATTCAACTTTATATACATTATGAATTAAAATCATAGGTTTCGATGACAAGAATACCATATCATTAACATTATGATGTAGATGCAACAACAAATCATTACTCTGATAGGCATTCGTCATTACGAGTACAATTATATAGTTTTCGAGTGATTGATATAGAAATTTACATGAAATTTTAAACATATTTGAATTTATTTGGCATTTAACTACATCTCAAACATTCGTTATTATCGATAGCAAATAGATGCTGACAAAATATGTCTTGTCAAGGATATTTTTTGACATGAAAAGAAGACACTAATTGAGAAATGATTAATAGCTTGATAATAAGCAACAACTAATCATAAACCTATACAATAACTTATGTTTTATTTATGTTATTGTGAAAAAACTATATGAATAACGTGAATAATTTTGTGCTTTTCATTCTAATTGAAAAAATTGGTTGAATTATTTCTCGTTCAAGTTACTCATAAGTAAATAGAGAGATATATCTTTTTCTGTGTACATATGCTCGATCGAACATATTACTCAGTTGAGAATAAAAACTTTTTATTTTTCGTATCAGTGCAAATCATTATCGTAGGTGTTGATGATTGCATCTGTGTGATTTACATAGATATGATATTTTTATTAAGCTGTTGTTTTGGTTTACGAAAATCATGTCTATGTCGAAAGGTGCAAAGTATATTTATACATATGATAAAGAATGAGAAAAAGATAAAAACCAGATGAGAAATATTTTGATGTTCTATGACATAGATCGTTAATGAAAGTTTTCATTTTGATATGAATAACCGTAATTTTCTATATCTTTACCGTAAATATAAAAGAAAAATATATAATGATTTTTTTATTTGAATTTCAACACTCATCAATACAATTTTGTTATTAATTGGAGATTTATTGAATAATAGTCTCGATTGTTTGAAAGTTAAATAATGCAAATTCTGTGCATATAAATTCTTGAGACTTGCCTTATGACGAATCTACAAGTATCTTATTTATTAAATTTAAGTTTAGTGTAATATGAATTTTCTATTGAAATGATGATACATGCAATTGACTAAAGACAACAAAATTAATATTGAAATGTCTCATTCATTTGATTGATTTTATTAAATTTAACCACGATCACATTTGTTGTATCCTATGTAATGTAAAACAATGTTGCATCCGTTTTCTTATACATATAATTTGTATATCATATGAATTATTGTTTCATAAAATCAGATAAATTCTTATAAAAAAAAAAAAAAAAGATAAAACCAATGATTACTATAACAAAACTTCGCTTTATCGGAGATAAAATAAATTCTTGATATTTAACAAAAAAAAATCTATTTACTTTGATAATGAAAAACATATGTATTATTTGCTAATAGATTATATATATATATACTTTCATCTATGATTGTAGTCATTGATAACGAGAACACCATACAACATAAGCATCATCGAACGCAATGACATAACGTTGTATTAATGGACAATGGCAATGATTAGAATCTCGAAAAAAAGAAGAATAACCTTAGAGTGATGTTTGTCCATCTTTATAAATACTGTTTGATTTCTTTGTGTGCTTTCTACATGCACATGTTGAACATCCATTTTCATGAAGTACTTTTTCATATATGCAATTTATATATATATATATGTTGCACATCCTAGACCGTATTCAGTACGTGACAAACATTCTGACATAGCGAGTAATGCATATAAGGAAAATGATAAAACGAAACACTATACAGTTAATGTTTATATAATGTATACATAAAATGCTGCTTATATATATATATATACTGTCCGAACATGCAATACGCATGTTATTTTTTTTTAATCGACTCTATAGATTTATGAATGTTATCAAGTAAAATTGTGCTACATAAGAGTAGAGATTGCAGATCTGTAAGATGTAAGTGAATAAATTATGATAAATAAGTTGTTTATCTTAGAAATGAAACATCGCATCATTTTGATCAGACATCGTAAAAACAAAAAAAACGTACTAATTTGGGATGAATTAGATTAAAAAAAACAGTACATTATGATTAATAGACATTCTAGAGATTTAAATTCAATCAAATGGATTTTTTTTAACAGATAGTGAAGTCTTAGATATTTTGACTGTAAGTTATGTATCAAAATCTAATGACGCTGACATTGTTGTATATGATATTTTCGATTATTTGAGTATTTATAAGTGGTTAGGTAGGGAGATAGAAAAAAGTTACATTGCCTCGACAATTCAAACATTGAATTCTGATTAAATGGTATGTAAATCAAATTGAAATATTCATTTGTCTACTTGGCGAATATTATTAGTGTCAATTGTTATTCGTTTTTTGAAGGTCAATATTTACAAATCAAATTCTATGAAAATAATAAAACAAGAAAAGAAAATATTAACTTATATAAGTAAACTCTGTGATAGCATTGTATTTTAATGTATAACTTATTGTGTTTTATTGATACAATCTCGTCAGGTTTTTTTGTAGCGATGTACAAATGACTATCATATGACAAATGATTTTTTTGTGTTTAAGGAAATCTTTATCATGCTTATCGTTAATGAACGTCAACCTATCGAGCAATGTGTGTAAGATTAATCTTCTAAAAATCCTTGTTCACCACTGTAAGAGCTTTTTTGACTTTTATATGTCACATAGTAATGGTTATCAAGCTGTGTTCCACTCAACTAGATTATACAACAAGAAAAAATAATGTAATGTATCAGTGTTTCCATTTTCCAAGTCATCATTGATATGATTGTAGATAAAAGGAAGGACATTGTGAAATGATCATTATTCATCATTTCTTTATCTTTATAAAATCTGTTTGTATTAAAACAATACAAAGCAAGGAGAGGTTGTGTAGACTAACATGTATTCAAGAAGCAAACAGTTTTTTTCTATCTTACTCAAGTATAATAGAAATATTCGTAAACGACGATAAACCGAAAACAAGATATCGAATCCTCAACGTAATCTGTAGATTTTCATTTACGCAACAATTACGTATAAATTATAGAATGTTGACGACTTATCCTAGACCATATGATAAAGAAGACAGATAACATATTCAATTCGTCTTGTATTCGTTTTTGAATGAAATTGTATTTTATAAAAGTATATAAAATCTATTGCAACATCGAATAATCGTATAAGCAATCTCAATTTGATAGTATATCCTTTTTACTCATATGTCACTTAGAATTGTTTTTCTTATTGAGATAACATTTTTAATTACTTTTTTGAATCATTTCAAATGCCGATCGATAGCATCCGTTGATATTTACACAACGAAATAACATGCCAATCTTTTAAAAAACCTGTCTACTCAACATCATCGTGTTTAATGCTAGTTTGATTATTGAGTCAACATATATACACATAGTTTTTCAAACAGTTTTTGTTTCCTCAATAAATATGATGTACTATTCGTGATAGAAGCTCTCTCTTGTTAGTCTTACATCTTAAACACATAGTATTCAAGACACAGTCTTAATCACGCTAATTCAAGTTCAAAGCAAAACAAGTACGAAATGCGAATCTGTAAATTTGAAACAACAAAATATTGTATAATCTCATCAATTGAAACTGAGCCAATGAATCAGTTTATATGATCAACATAAATGTAGTCTGTAAAGCGCTACTTAATGATGTATTCCAGATACGTTACAATAGGGATGTGATCCGCATACAAATACTCAAATGGGGTACATTGAACTAATGGTGACATACCATAAGCAGTTCATATATAGTCTGTTTTGTATGATTACAAATTATTTTTGAGCCGTAACGAGTGTTATTTAAATTGAACAAAACTAATGATTTTCAAGAATCATCTAAAGAAAATCCGTATATGTCAAAGTACACACGTTTTCTAGGCAGCAATTAATGTTAGTTTTCATTCAGAACAGATAGAGCAATTCAATCGGAAAAACTGTGCTCATTTCTTCTTTCTGGTAACTTTTGCGTGTTCCAATTATATCGTAAAAGAAAGAACTTTGAAATTGTCATGAAATGTCATCAAACAATAGAGCATTGAAATTCAGATGATAGACATATGAATATATAAACGAAAGGCATAAGTTTCTTTTTAAATAGAAATGTATAAAGTTCTTAGTGTCATTTTGATAGTTATTTATGAAAGAATTAAAGAAGTCTAACAGTAACTGTCACTTGTAATGATTGAAAATTAATCGAATAAATTTAGAAAATAAATATTTTTTATTATTAGTCAGTTCCTATTTTTCTGTTGATAGTAGAAATCAAATGTCTATAAGAATACAAAACCATTTTCATAGTCATACGAAGATATTCACAAATATTTACAATCTATCTCTCTAACATTACAATAACTACGTAGTTACTTTCATCGATAAACATCTTATCCTTGAATAACAACTCACAAGCATACGAAAGAGACAACAACATAGTTGTCTGAAATGTGATATTATATCTTAAACTGATCTGAAAATGATCCATATTTTCTTTCGAGGTCGATTGTAATGACCATCTACTAGTCAATGACAACATCAATAATACTTTGCTTTTAATCAAAATAATCAATGAATATATGGCATGTATGCCAATCATCATCATGATCATCATATATCTTTCTATCAAACTTATTCTTTTTTATACAAATATATAAGAATACTATTGAATGAATAATCTTTGAATAATAATTTAAAAATTTCGGCAATATCTTTATTTATTGCTTAATCAACTCTAACTATGGACCCAATTCCATTGTCTTGAATAATTGGAATAAATAAACATATAAAAGACCAAAGACAAAAAAAAAAAATAATATTGTCAAAAAATGTAGACAGGAAATGAACAACAACATCTAATATAAACTCTGTACATTTGAGAAAAAAAAAATACTGCTCAATGAAATGAGACAAACAAGGACAAAGAAAACACACAAATGATAAAAAAACCGGTAGTCAGCAAATAAAATGACACGCATCTCTCGTTTTTTGTAGTTCCCTTTGCGAATTACATTCGTTTTTTTTTTTTTGGTGTTTTTGTTTTGGTGTATCCTGATAGCGATTCTGTATAGAACAACAGAATATACGAAACATACAACAATAAAAAAAAAAAAAGAAATAGACGATACATACACACAACATTAATTTGTTTTCTTTTTAAATAGTTTTATTATGAAAATTTAACTTTTTGTTTATTAGAAATTAATTTTTTTTTCTTTTCAAACTTTTTTGGGTCCATATTCAATAGCTGCATCATCCCATTCTAATTGATGTTTATGTTTTTTTGGATGTATTTGATTATTTTCATAACCATCATCATCTTCAGATGAATATTGATTAGGATTATTATTATCATTTTCATATTCTTCACCTTCATCATCCGAACTTGAACCTGAATATTCATTCATTCTTTGTTCTATGTTATGCATATTTATTGATTGAACAGGTTTCTATAAAAGAAAAGATATAATCATACGCAAAGAAAATATCAAAATCAACTAACTTTTGTTTCATCTAATGGATTAACAGTAATATTAAGTCCAATATCATCTTCCCATTCCATTTGTGAATGTATATCATCGCCGGTATTTGTATTTGGATTATGTTGTCGATTACTTGTACGAATACGTACAATAAGATAAAGTACAAGTACACCAGCAAGACCAATTGAAACACAAACAACTACAGCAATTGGCCAGCCTAAAGATAAAAAAAAACGAATTTAAACTTGTAAATTAATCTTGTTATTTGTCTAATCTTAAACTTTTTGTTTTTTCTTTTATTAACTATAGTTCATCTGTCTTGTTATAATAACTTTCTTTTTGATTGTTTATATCATCTGTTAATGTTCATTTCTTTTCTTTATCACTTGTTGTTGTTACTATTAACATAACTATTGTTTCCGTTTATTATTAGTGCAAAGCAAATTGAGCAATCATATAGTAAACAATGAGAAAAGAAGCAAATATAAGAACTTATCTATACTCAATATACAGCAAAAGTTCATCACCTGGTGATGCTCTTTTTTACGCTCTATGATGACAACAAAAAGACAAGAATGCTAATTGATGGTATATGCACAATTGGGAAATGGTCTTCTATCTCTCTTTAAATATATATATATATACATAGAGAGATACATAGATATAACAACATATATACAACAAATTGACCATCAAGGATTCTATATGATAATGTGTGAGACATCTATCGTTCTGCTCGTGCTCTATGTCAAGGTCAACAATATTATTGACCGATTGATTCGTTTGAAAGTAAAGAAAAATAAAAATGATTATATTTGAACTTACTAAAAGTTGGTAATAGAAACATTCGAATAAATATCTTGTAGTAAATAATATAGTACAAAAAGAAGCTGTTAAGGCGAAAAAAAAAATTTGTTGTACTAGTTATAGCTCTATGAGTCGTTGTCGTCGATAATGATAATGACAGCGGTTGAAAGTCTGTTTGCTGCTGTGCAATACAGACAGAGAGAGACAGAGAGAAAGAAGAGTGTTGACGACAACGAAGGAGAGAAAAAGAAAAAAAGAAAATGCCGGCCAACGATGAGATGTGCGAGGGCGCGAACACGCATATACGCCCAGTCAGGCAGCAGATAATTTTACAATAGAGTTACACTCATTTTTCTCCTTTTTCCCTTTTCCTTCGTCTAAGCATAAAGCAAAGAGATTATTATAAGCAGGAACGAATAGAAAAAAAAATGCAGCAAGGAAAAAACTTTTCCTTTTCCTTCTTTTTTTTTTGCTCTTGTACGATGACAATAATATATGAAGAATAATCTAAATGATTCATCTAATAATCTCGTTCATGATTCAATGTCTAGTCTAGATTTTGCCCGCTTCTTTTAATAAAAGTATATGTGAGCAATCACATCTGTTTGCGTTCAATCATTCTTGTTGTTCTCTTTTCTTTTCTTTTTTTTTTAAAACTATATGCGAGAACAAAAAAAAAACGGATCATCACTGTTAACTATTGACAAAAAGAAATAGCAATTTTTCGTCTGTATCGGCTTGGTTTTTTTTTTTTTGTCTTCGTTATTCATCAATGTCTCTCATTAATCTGTTTGACTAGAAGTTATGTGCCCTTCGACGTCAACCATATAAGCATAAACATAAACACACAATAGACATCATATAGTAGCCTCTAAGAAGTATAAGTTGATGTTACACTACTAGCTATACATCAGACGATAAAATCATCACCTTTTTCCTACTACTTTGTTCGCCTTTCAGCTGTTAGCGAATAATAATATCATCAAGAAAACATAGAGACAGATATATTCTAATACGAAAGATTTTTATCTATCGATGTTCTTTTTCTTACTCATATAGTTTATTTCCAACTACGAAGAAGTTGTAAATAACTCTATTTCTCGATTAAAGAAAGACAACCAACCAAGAAAAGAAAATTTTCTTGTTATTTAATATATGACGAAGAAAAAAACAATGACTAATCTAATTTTGTTACCTGACTTATTTTGTTGCATTCGAGATTCTTCCTCATTAACATTAAATATATTATCTCTTGTTTGATCATTATCTACAACTAATTTATTTGATAGAACGGCAGCAACTGGAGCTGATGGAACCATCTGTTTTTCTATACGAACCTAACATTGAAAAAATAAATAAATGAAAATATATAAATTACTATGATATTAAAAATCGTACTCGAACACGAATTTCATTTGTAAATACTTTATCATATAAACCAACACATGAAAGTGTAAATGTTCGATCAACATATGTTATTGGTGTTCGTGATATATACGCGATTTGTCGAAGTAAACTTTGATAAGCATCAATAGATTCAATGCCTAAAATATAAAAAAAAAACAACAACAACAACTGTATTTTTCTATTCTAATAAGATTTCAATATATTAATATACCTGAAATCATGACACCTTCATTTGACACCTGTTTTTTAAGATTTGAAACTTGTGGTACAATAATTTGTTCAGTATTTGATAAAGATGGTTGTGTTATTAAAGTACAATCACTAATATCACCTATAATAAAATTATAATCAATAGAAAAATTTTAAATGTATAAAAAAAAAAACTCAAAAATGAAAATATAATTTTTTTTTTTTACCTTGACTTTTTTTCATTGCATTGGTATAAATTGATAAAGTTCGAAATAGATAAATACCACGATTAATAGCATCTTCTGGTACTATATAATTTGTATCAGCTTTAAGTTCAATTTTAATTGGAATTTTTGGTTCATCAATTGATATATAACGTGTAAATATTGGTAAATCATGTGTATTAACTTCTCCTAAACATTTAACTCCTGTACGAATTATTATTTTTCGTTGACCATATGGACCAATAGGTTCAAATGTATTACGATAAACAATATGTTTTAATAAATCTTCATATGATTTAGCTGTATCTGTACGTAATATCCACATTGATCGATTAGAATTACTAATAAATTCCTACGAGAAATAAAAATAATAAATTTTATTGTTAAAACATATGTATTATACATACAACATTTGGTTTAGATTGAACATCAGGAATATCAAGATATTGATGACATTCTCGAATACAATTAGATGATCGTTGTAATTCTTCGTTCTGTTCAATTATAAGACCAGATAATTGACCATGAAAATGTTGAACTAAACGAGATGCTCGTGCTAAAAAAAATAGAATAGATTTTCTTTTTATTGATATAAGAAATAAAGTTAAATTGAAGTTTATATTTCTTTTTCGTCGAAAAATATTACTATTAAAATTACGGACAAAATTGATTTAGTTCAATTCGGTTCCAAAAAAAAAAAAGAAAACTTGAACTGATCTTATCTTTGATTAAAATATCTGTTAATGATTTCTTTTTTTTAACTTCTAGATTTTGTATAAATTATTACGTTTATATTAAGATATAATTTATAATGATTTCGAAACGGTCTGATGAGAAAATAACGTGAAATGGAAATTTTTTCGCCAAGGACTTTTTTTTTTGTAATTAACACAATATTAATTTGTAGACATCGTTCAAGTTACATTCAATTTTGTATTGATATATATTTTATGTCCTTTAAATAAATTAGCTAAGAGAGTTTGACCAATGTTATCAATTGATACTGTCTTAAGAATCCCTACAGACATATCTTAAAGGACAAGGTTTTATTCTCTCAATATGAATCCCATTGAAACTTATTTTAAGCAACAGTCATTCACTTCAACATGTAAACAACAATTGAACTTGACCTATTAATATTATTAGTCTGTATACTTTGATAGTAAGTATCCCTTTGGCATAACTAAAGAGATTACGTTTGACATATTCGCATGAATTCCATATCAATGTGTTAGAATGAACTTTAATCACAAGTACATATGTATAATTTATTTATTTTTTAATCTTACCATGCCAACAAGCTCCTAATACAAACATTGTATCTTCTGTTCCTTCAATAACTGATAATGGAATTTCATCGATAACTCGAAAATTATCATTTGTTAAAACAAATAACCTTCCATCAATATATAAATCAATCTTAAAATAAAAATTATTTTAATAAAAAGAAAAAGAAAAGTTTTTCTTAAAAAAAATGACATACTTTAGTTGGATAATTAACAATAAATTTATATGAATGCCATTGATTATCATTTAGTTGTGGAATTTTCCATATCCATTCAGATGCATATGTTGTATGAAGATTTGATGATAATGGTCCTTTACGTAATAATAATTTTAAATAATTATTTTGAATAAATAGAGCAGTATGATGACGATTTTTTACTAAATAAATATTTTTTTTTTGTTTTTTGTTTTTTTTATGTATTAAGTTTCAAAAAATAAATTAATTCAACTTACATTTTTTATCACTTTTACAAAATATATGTTCTTTATCATTATTATTTTTATTATCATTTGTATATTTCATCCACATACGTATAATAAATTCATCATTGAAATGACCTGAAAATTCTGTTTGATTAACAATTAATACTTGATTATGACCATTAAATGATGTTATTTTTGTTTGAGGAATTTCATTTGAATGATCATCTTTTGGTAATAAAATATATTCACGATTAATTGTGGCTTAAAAAACAAAAACAAATAAATTCGATTGTTTTTGTTTTTTTAATTTTTAAGAAAAATAAAATTAATACATACAACATTGATCAAGATTACAACCACTATCCAATTCATGTGTATCAAGTTCAACTGTACCAACAATATCTTGAACATTACATGTTTCATCACATGTATCAACATTAATAGTATCAAATAGATGAATATGATCTGATTGAATACTTAATTTTGATGATGCAGCATTATCTAAAAATAAAGATGTGTCATTAGTATAGTTAATGTTTTTGCTGGTTTTTTTTATTTCAATACCGGTAATAATTGGTGTGCATGATTTAATGATTTTAAAAGTAACTCGAGTTGGTTGACTAATCATTCTTGAATTATCCTTTGATAGAAAACAATCAATAGCAATAACATCAAATTCATATTGATCGCTATTTAATGTTGATGTTGTCGATATTATACCATGTGAATTAATAGAAAAAGGTACATTTGGTGTTATTATTTCATAATTACATACACGATGATCTGGATTAGCACAATCATCATCGGTTGCTTCCACCTAAATAAGAAAATAAGATTTTAACACATCATAATTATTCGTGCATTTAGCTCTAAGTAAAAGGAGAGAGAAAGAAAAACATCAATTAGACTTGTTTATGTTTATTGCTTGGTAGACTATGTGTTAATTATAAGGATTATTATAGTCTTCTTGAGGCTTTGAATATTATTTAAACGAATTTTCTAGATAATGTTTACAGGAAAAAAGAATTTCATATCCTTTTCTATTTCCGTTCTGTTTAATTAACAAAATAAAGCTTAATTCTTTTTTTTTCTGCAGCTTACGCGACATGATGAAGAATCGCACGTTTGGTTTTCATGTAATTTGAATAGATAATGATTATGTGTAAATATTGGTGCATATTCATTAACATCATCAACAGTAACTATTAACGATGATCTATAATACAAGAAAAATAATATAGACTATCTATTCTTCAGAATAATTTTTTTTTTATTCTTCTGTTATCATTAGTTTTAGTTTAAGCGTTTAGACAATTTACCTTGAGATAAGTGTCTACAAAAAAAAAAAAAGAAATGGTTTTTTTGTCGTACCTTTCTGAGTAACGACGCTTGTCTAAAGGTGCACAATCGTACGCACGTATATACATACGATGCGTTTGTTGTATTTCACAATCGAGAGTATCAATATTTGGTTTAAGTTTAAGAATAGGTTGATTATCAACAAGATCAACAATAAATGGAATACTTTGTGTTATGTCGCCAACAATATCATCATGTTTATGCCATGATAATTCATACCCACAAATTTTACCTGTATAAGAATAAGATTTTTTTTTTTTTTCTATTAAGAAAATAAAACAATTCTTAAACAATAACAAACCATTTAAAGAATTCGATGGATCAGCATCAGTTGCATATAAACGAGGCTGAATTTGAACAGTACGCTCATTTTCTTTGACATTACCAATATAAGAATTGGCAGAAAGAATAGGATCAAAGAAATTTATTTTTATCCTTGAATATTTCGTTTCAGTTGACATTACTCTTGTATTTGTCAAGGCTATGGTTGACAAATGAAATGAGTAAGAAAATACCACATAATAATTAATCCACCTTGAAATTTTACATCGAACTTACCTGTAATAGTAACAAAAAATATTGACCAAATCATTGCGATTGATCGTTGTCTTTGTAGCATCTAAAAGCTCAACGAATGAGTAGTTCAAAAAAGAGTCATCAACATTACTAATATATATTTTAAAAAGAAAGAAAAAAAAAAGAGCTAACACGGTGATGGCGATGCATGAAAATGGTAGTCTTACCAATATTTCTACTCTTACTTGTCTATGAAAAAGAGAGCGAGCAAGAAAGAAAAAAAAAACCAGAGTAAGCTTGATTTTTTTTATGGCTCATTCCGTATGTTTCTCTTGTCTCCCTTGTCGCCTTTTTTTCTCCTATTCTATCGCTCTCCTTTCCCATTCGTTTTTCTCCTCTCTTTGATTCTTTTTTTTTGAATTCTGTGTGTGTGATACATAACATTGTTGGCTTTTGTTTAGCAATTTTCCTACCGTTTCTTTTTTTTTTCTTTACATACACATACATATATGATTATTTTTTCTATATTTTTTGTGATCGGAAGAGTAAGAAAAGTGAGTAAGAACAAGCGAAGCTAGAAAAAAAAACCACTAAAGAATAAATACAAAAAACAAAGTCCATAGACTGCCATCATTATTGATGTATTCACCTGCAGTTATATTCATATAAACAACATTAAAGTTCGATTATTTGGAAAGATTGTATCTTATATTTAATATACAAAATAACAACTAAAAATAACTCTAAAAAAATTGTTTCTATTTCTAACAAACAGTTAATCAAAAGATCCAGTAACACATGTCACAACATTTCCTTGAGATGTATAAGCTGTTTTTGTTGTTTTAAATGTTCCTTTCTTTGTAAGTGGTTCTATATCATTTTCATCATTATCATCATCATCATCATCATCATCATTACTATCGATAGACATATCAGAATAGTTCATAGATGACATAATATTTGGTTCTTGTTGTTGAAGAATGATATTATCTGTTATTGTAATTATGTTATCTGGTTCAATAAGTTGCTTTGGTACAAGAATTATTTGTCCTTCAGTAGTTTTACCAATGAGATAGGTTGTGTTCAGTTCTAAATTATTGCGATATGATGATTCTAATGTGACTATACATCGTTTTGATTGTTCAATTGTTTGATGTTGTTCTGTTGAGTAGAAAACTTTTCGACGACGTTGTTTAAATGATTTTTTTCTAGTTTCATTTTTATGGTTATTTTTACCATGTGATGAGTGTAATGTTGATGATGAATGAAGGCGACGACGACGACGATAATGATGATGATGATGATGAATTGGCGTAGAAAATGCTTTCTTTAATGATTCAAGACGTTGAAGAAGTGTTGACGATGATGCTGGTGAATCTACCATTGATTTACAGCGAGTTTGAAGCTAAACATTAATAAAAGAATTGTAAAGTTCTATTTATAAAAAGATTTCTTTGTATGTCATTTATGATGATTGCAACAAAACAAAAAGCAAAGATCGAAAACGAGTGAAGTCTACTAAGACAATTTCTTTTCTTTTTGTTTATTTTTATTGTTTATATGATTTTGTACTAGTATCTAGACATCTAAAAATGAAAGTTTTCTTTGCAATAAGAGATCTGGAGAGCGGTGATTAATTAGGAAATTATTTTCAAAGTTCTCAGATATCGATGAGTATGACATAGTGTGGGTGCATTTGATAAAATATATTCACCCGTATTTTTCTTCTATGTAGTAAATGAAACAATTATATTTTACATTAGATACAAATTTTGATAAGTCATTCGAGCAATTTTCTATAAAACAAAGCCTTCTCAATATTCAAATAGTACTGTTAATCGATGTGAAAACGAAGATTAGAGATAGATTGATGATTAATTCTTATATGAATAGAACTCAATTAAATTATACAGTATTGTTATCTGTCATTGAACGTTAAATAAACAGAAGACTACCTGAAGCATTGTTTGTCTATATTTAAGACAAGTGTTTATATGTGTTATTAACAATTCAGAATTTTCACGTTGTTCAAGGACAAAATCAATATGTTTAATTAATGGCATTGTTTTGTTAATTTTTCTTTTATTAATCCAATATTCATAAATTTTTCTTGATAGATTTTCATCATATTCATGTGGACATTCTTCATGTAAATGAGATGATGAAATAAATGTAAAAAATTTTTTATAACATTCATTTATCCATTGTTCATTTTTTAATTGATAACGACGATAAACAGTTAATGGCATTGTTGATGGTAATGATGATGAACATGATGAATCATCTTCACTATCTTTATTTGTTGATAATATTGATGGATCTTGTTCAGAACGTTTTCTAGCTTCATCGGAATGTTTTGCACAATAAGCATTAAATTGTGAACGACTTGTAGCAGATTCTTTACAAGGTGTTTGTTGAATATCAAGAAAATAACCAGCAATAAGACCGCAAGTGACCTTGAAATAGAAAAAAGAACAATGACGGTTTTATGATTTGAAAATAATAAAATAATAAAACAACGTCATTGCAATCCATATTAATTTATAGATTAAAAAAGAGTCAGTTGTCATAGTAAGATTTCTTATGATTTTAATGGTTTCACCAATGTTCGGTAGTTATAGGTTATTATTCTTTACGTATGAAGTATGATAATTCATCTCAGAAAAAATTCATCAAGAAGCCTTAATATTATTACTATTCGAAAACTTATTAGTACCGTCAATTGATTACATTTAATAAAAGATATCATTTTAGATACATACATGAAATGGTGTACGACAATTTTTATGTGCACATTGTACACAAGCACCTTCCGTTGTTGAACATACAACACAACGAAGAGACCAACGTGCATGCGGAATTTTATTTATATTTAATATAGGTTCCTATTCAAATATTCAAATATAACATGAATATATGCATATTTATCGTCCTACCATATTAGTATAATCAACAAATTTAAGTTCAGGTAACCAAAGAACACATGTTAAATGACACCAAATCGTTCCACTTGCTGTACTTTTCATTGGACCACCAAGTCTAAAATAAGACTTTTTTTTTCTGAAATTTCTTTTCATATAAAAATATTTTACCTTGGACAAAGAATACAAGCAGGTCGTCTTAATATAGAACAAGGTTTACAAAGCCATGTTCCACTTGGAATAACTGGTATACCATAACAATTTTGATGTACACAACAATGACATCGTTCACAAAAAACCATTTCATTACCATCATCACCATCAGGTAATAAACATATATCACAGACAATAGTTTCATCTTCACATGATTTTTGTTTCAGATACGCACGAATTTTTTCAGCTGTTGAAAATTCTAGAATAATGATTGCATTTTCAAATTCTTCTTCACTTATTTGTCGTTTTTCTATAAGAAAACAAAAAATCGACATATGTAAAATATCACAAAAAATAATAACAAAACATAATTTATACGTTTCATTTTATTATTATGATTAAGTTCATGAAGAAATTTAAGATCATCATCATCCATATCATAATCAAGTTCATGCATAACTGCTTTCATGATTAATTGAGTTGGATCACTAGACATAAAAGAAGAAAAAAAAAAAAGAATTCATCAATTTTGTATTTCAATCCGAAATTTTCTAGTTCGATGATTGTCTAAATTAGATATCAAAATTATCTATCGTTCTTTTTGTCTCTACTTTTTAAGATGTCCTTTTCATGGCTTCACGTCTTATCATTCAGAAGATTTTCAGATGCCACAGTGCAAAATAGAGTTTTCACACATGCAAATGTTTCTTTTATAAATAGACCTTAAGCTACAGCCTTCGAACTACTCTCATTTAAAAGAGAAATCGTTACCACTTTGAATGAGGGTAAGGTTTTCTTTTTGATTTAGTTTTTAAAGACCTTCGAACCTTGGGCGATTTCTTTTTGAAAATTCATGATTGATTTTATATTCAGGGTCGAATACTAAATCTTTTTCTGTCATCCGAAAAACATAGAATTTGTTTATTGAATAAGAAAAAATGTGATTCACTAGAACGAACACTATTGAAAAAAAAAATTTGTTCCGAATTCGCAAAAAGCAATGTCGAAGAAAACATGAGAACATTTTTCTATATTTCTTCTAGCCACACGTTGGACTGTGATCGAAGATAGTCACAATTATTTCCATTATAATTTTCAAAGGTATTACACCTTTATGTTTATCTCGAGAAAAGTGTCTTTTTTTTTAGAAAAACTGAGTTTTGGGATGCGGAGACCTTAAGGCTTCCGCAAATATTGACCATGAACCATTCAAACTGCATGAAATTTTCAGCCCTATACCATGACTCTTTCAGGAGACATTCAATAACCAAAGGTCAAAAAGATCTCATTCGATAATCCGAATTTTTCTCGAGTATTCATGCTATATATTTAGTTTTTTTTCTGTTTGAAAGTGCAGGACAGAGCCATTTTTTTTTAAATTCTTACTTCTTAAATCCAATGTCTTGAAAAACTTTCAAAAAATGGCACTCTATTTCAAAAAGTACTCTTCTATAATAGTAACAATACTTAATTTAAAAAAGAAACTCTGTCATATACTGTATCTTTACATGTTCTTTTCAACAACAAAAAATGAATTGAAATCTATACAATTAGAATCTATAGAGAATTCTTGATTGCAAGATGAAAAAAAGCATATCTTGTAAGTAAAATGATGATGGAAATCATCGAAAATTTTGACAAAAAAGAATAACTATGCTAAATGTAAAGACAACTTAAGATTAATGATGAAACATTAAAAGTAAATTAAAAATGCATTTGAAGAATAATGAAACATAATATTTTCATTTATTCAATACATACGTCGGTTGATCAATAAGATCATTATTATTTGAATTTGATTTATTTATTTGTAATGTTTTTGATAATTTTTTATAAGGTACAAGTTGATTTTTATTATTTAATATTGATTG